GTTGAGGGACAACGCAGGAGGGGAAGACCCTCTATGAGATGGATTGATTCGGTGAGTGGGGTAATCGGGATGGGTGTGTCAGAGGCGGTGCGGTTGGTGCAGGATAGAGCAGGGTTTAGGACTGTTGTGCATAGGGTCGCTATGAGTCGGAAACGACTCGACGGCACATAACAACAACAACAACAACAAGTCTTTCTACTTTCCCTCTGGGAGACAAACCCTTGCAACATGTTCTGCTCTGTTCCATTCTTTGCTGGCCATTCACCTTTTTCTGTTGAGATATTTAGAGTTTTCAGTTCCAGGCAGGTTAATTCTCCCTTAGGGAAAGTCAAAGGTCAAAGTTTTTGTCTCACCTACAAAACAATACTGTCTTATAAGTGAAGTTCTTATAACCCAGACACACTTATCTGGGGAGTCTTTCTCTACCAGGTGTACACAAGGGATGTGTCCTACTCCATACCTTTTCAGTCTATATGCAGAACAGATAATCTGGGCGTCTGGGCTCTATGAGGAGGAATGTGGCATCAGGATTGGAGGAAGACTCATCAACAACCTGTATTACACAGATGACACAACTCATTAATCTCCTCAGGGTCACTTTATGGGAGTTGGCAAGGTCAACTTCAGCTTTCCATGGAGAGGAAGCTTTCTCTAATCTGCTGTGATCAGTACAGGTGGGGATTTCTTCCACTCAGACTGCAGTTGGTGTGATCAAGGTGATGGTATAAGAGCCTTTCTACCTGGGCTGATGGGGAGTCATTTACCAGGTTTTGGCATAGACCTAGTCTCCTGGGGATGAATGGGGATAAAGAGACTGACATGAGACAGCTCAGTTACCCATGTGGAAATTTCTTTGGCTACTCGTCCTAGAACTCCTAGCTACCTGTGCAGCACAGTCTTTCCCAACTCTCTGGGGGTTGCTGGCCTATTGTAGAAGATTGGTGGTGGTCTGTGATACATTATCTCATAAGGTGAATACCAAGACACTTTAGAGGAAGTACATATAACCTTAAACAGAACTAGTATGTATTGCTTCCTCACAACTTACTCAGGCTTGCATTAGCTCTATTCATGCACTCAAACCTGCCCAAGTCCTGAGGTCTGTAAGCTACATGCAGTTTCTAGGTGATTTTGTAGCTTTTGCCATTATCTACACTACTTCTGCAACAAAGGCAGGTCCATTGTCAGATCCCATCTGGAGTGGCAGACCAAATCTTGGAATAATTTCCCTAAATAGCACTTTTACTACTTCTCAAGCTATATAGCCCGGGTGGGAAAGGCTTTTACCAATCCAGAATAAATGTGACGAAGATTAGGAGGTCCCAGTTCCTTTCACATTCAGAAAGTTCAGTGTATTCAATTTGCATATCTTCAAAGGGGGCTATTCTATAGGACTGGATTCATGGTGACAATGAAGGCCCTTGCTGGCAGTGTTGGCTACAAGTTGTGCAGTGCCAACGGACCTCTTTTAAAATTTTTTTTAATTTTATTGGGAAAAACATAATGGGGGTACAAGGAGGTGAGGGTTGGGGGCAGAAGGGTGAGGATGGGCAGGGATGCAGTTGCAGAGCTGCACAATTTGGTTGGTGGGGGCAGCAGGTGAAGGAAATGAAAAGGATACAGTGGGGACCAGATGCTACAGGGGAATGGTAAGCATTTTCCAATGGCAATTAAACCAACTGTCTTATTGACTTGGGAACTGGATGCAGACTCTCTGGCTTGTTCATGCTAAACACGGATGTAGATGTAAAGGGGGAAAGGGAGGACACTTTATCACTTTACTGGTGGTCTTGGGTTAAAGCTGCTTACCTTCTTGTTCTGTTAGAAGATATTTTCCTGTCATTTGCTCCCCTTTGAACTGCAAAGTGTTTTCCCAGGTCGGTCCAGTGGGGATAGCTGGTTGAACCCAGAGGCTCCATCCTCCTTTGCTTCCTTAGCTGGCAGTTGTAGTTCTTTTTTGTCACTGTCACTGGGTTCAGGGGCAGGTCTGGAGTAAAAGTCAGTGTTAAGGTTATCTATAGGAAAGGGAGCAAACCTAGAGAGAACAAACTTGTGAGTTACAAATAGGAGTGCTTTGAGGGTGTTGCTTTCAGGTTTGCTGGGGGAGAGGGTGGTGGAAAGTAGCCTAGATAAAATTCTCTGGATACCCTAGACATTTTGTTGTTGTTTTCCCCATCCAAGAGTCAGATGGCATAGTCTGGGGACTGAGGAGCTCACCCTGAGGGCTGTGACGGCTTGCCCTGAGCCGAGGGCCTAAGACAGCCCACCCCGCCAAAGACAGCCCGCCCTGGGCAGAGGGCCATGATGGCTCACCCCAGGCCAGGGGCTGAAGACAGCCCATCCCGAGCAGGGCAACACCTCCCAGGGGCTGGCTGGTACACTCCCCCTCCAATTGCCCCACCCCAGTGTGGTCCCCTCGCCTGACCAAGGGCTATGTGGCCAAGGACAGCATCTCCAATTCCAGCACCGCCACTTTTACACCCCCCACATACTATAATTTGAAGTAGGTGTCACTGCCCTCCCCCTTTATAAATGTCAAAGGGAACCTGAGAGTTGTGAACAGACTCCCCCCCCAGGTCTAAACAGCTTTTGGCAGAAGCATTCAACAGAACAAAATATGTGGTGCATTTAGGATATTGATCCTCTTGGACATGCTGCCACTGTTAAGTGTCATCAAGTAGACAACTCACAGTGACCTTCAACAATCCATTGTATGGGTGATCATCTTCTCTGGCCTGTCCAAGGAAACCCAAACCTGCAGGCGACAGGGCGCGCATCCCATCTCCCATCTCCTGTGCGGGCACCCGGCAGGTGCTCGTCATCTCCTGTGAGGGCAGCTGGTGGGTGCGTGTCTTATCTTCCACGCGGGAGGAGCACATCATCTCCCGCGTGGGTGGCCGGGGGCCGCCAGCTTCCCTGCTGCCGCCATCTTGGCTCCAAGAATTCTCCCCAGAACAAGTCCACTTCACGGCAGTGTGGTGGCTCCACTGCACCAGTGCTGGGGAGGCCCGGTGCCCACCATCTATCCTGGGTGAGGGATTCTATAGGTTCTGGCTGTGGGAGCTTCATGGAGCTGCGGTGGCAGTACAGCACAGTGCAGGCTCTGCGGGCCTGGGTTGGGAGCTGTGAGACTCACCCATTCCTCCTTGGGAATCCTTGAATTCCTGTTGTTGAGCCTCGATCTTCACTGAAGACCAGTCATCAACTGTTTAACTGTTCAATTATCAATAAACAGAGGTCTGTAGAAGGCCATAGTGGCCCTACTCCAAGTGGTTCACTGCTCCCGCAGCTCACCACGTTGTCTCTGCTTCCGCCACCATCTTGGATCTCTTCCCAACTGACCTTCTTGATGAGTGTGGCCAGGAGGGGGTTATAGAAATATCTCCTGCAGAAATCGATCCAGCCATCTATGATCAATGGATATGTGACAAGGAAATAAAACCTATCAAATGGTGAAATGACAACCTCTTCAACAAGGTCCTGGCAAAACTGGACTGTTACCTTCAGAAAGCTGAAATAGGATTCACATCTCACATCATACACAAAAAAACAACTCAAGCTCAGAGACCTGGGAATAAAGCCCAAAAACATAAAGTTCATAAGAGACAAACTGGGATCAAGCTTAGATGGCCTAGTCTATGCTATAAAGAGACTACCAAATATAGCCGAAATGTACAATCTAGAGATGATAAAATTAATAAATGGGACCTTCTAAAAATTAAATCCCTGTGTGCATAAAAACATTTTTTCAACAGAATGAAAAGAAAACCTACTGACTATGAAAAAATATTTGGCAATATAATTTTGGACAAGGGTCTTATATCAAAAGTTTACAGATTCCTACAGGGCCTCCACAAGAAAAAGACTGATAATACAATTTATAAAATGGACAAAATACATGGAAAAAAATTCACAAAGGAAGATAGGCAGGTGGCCAGTAGACAGATGAAGAAATGCTCAAAATATCTGGTAATAAAAGAGATGCAAATCAAAACCACAATGAGATACCATCTCACTCCAGTAGTAGTAGCAGTGGCAAAGTTAACCATGCCAGGAATTAATAAATCTTGGAAAGGATGTCATGAGAAAGGACCTCTTATACATTTTTGGAGGGATTGTAAAATGGTACAACCACAATGGAAGGTAGTTTGGTGCTTCCTCAAAAAACTGAACACAGAAACTCTATATGACTCAGCTATTCCACTGTTCGGAAGATACCTGGAATGAATGAGAACTGAAGCACAAATGGAGACTTGTACACCAATGTTCATAGCACTGTATTCCCTATTGCAAGAACAGGAAAACAGCCCAAATGTCCAACCACAATCAAATGGATTGAGAAATTATGGTACATTCACATGATGAAATACTACACAGCACACAGGAGCAATGATTTTGTAAATTACTACCTAACTTGGAAGGGTCTGGAGAGCATTATTCTAAGTGAACTAACTCAGTCCCATAAGGACAAATGCTGTATAAGAGCATTATTGTAAAATGAGTATGAGGATTGAAGGGGGGAGGGAGAGCAGATGGATGAAGAGGGAGGGCATTAATCATAGGGTCACACAGTTTGATGGGTGGAGGGGGGTTGAAGGAAATGGGAAAGATCCAATATGAAAAACAATGTATATGAACTTTCTAAATAAATAAGCATAAAATTTTTAAAAAATGAAAAAAGAAGTAAGTGGTCTAAAGTTTGTCAGTCTTTTCTTGCCCTGAGAATGTGGCCTTATGCATAGCTAAGACTACTGCAGGCCCCAGAAGTTGAGGGATGACAATTCCTCCATCTAGTAGCTTCTGCCATCGTTCTCCTGCATTTTCTGCTTTTTCTTGCTCCATTCACCTTTTTTCCCCTTCAAAGTACATGGAGTTTAGGTCTGGTGCCCAGAGAATCAGTAGAGCAATGGTGGCAATGCAGTAAGGAAGTGCTGCTGCCCTTTTTGCTTCCACATCTGCCTTTGCAGTTCCTAGTGCCCCAACAGTAAATAACGACTCCTTTATTAGGCTTCCACACAGCCTCTACAAGATGCAAAATTTCACCTGGGTATTTTAAGTTTTTCCCTCCTGTTGTTATAAGTCTTGATTCGTGCAATGAGAGAAAGGCAAACTTAAAGGTGATGTGAATGTTAACACACTTTTCTGCATTCAACTATAAAGTGAGTTAGTGCTAACGACTTTCTGGGCAGAGATTCTTTGGGGAAGAGGTTTTGCTTCAATTTCTTCGACTGAAGTGACCATGGCATAACTGTCTTATCTTTCCTCTGTGGGGTCCACAAAACAGCTTCTATCTACATAAAGTTCCTGTTATGGGTCACTTAAGGGTTGGTCTGATCTGGTTGGCTTGAGCATATAGCCTCAACCACTTCCACACGATCGTGCTCTGGATTTGTGGCTGGTGGGGACCAAAGTAGCAGGATTTAGGAAGGATAAAAACATTAATGGACAATTGTGGGTTCTCAAATAGCAGGGCCTGGTATGGATGAAGTGCACGTTAGTTAGCCAATGATGCTTCTTAGTGTTCATTAGGGGAACTTCAGCATGTAGTATGCGAACTTTCAAGTTTGACCAGCTTATCTTCTTCCTCCACTAGCATTGCAGTGGTCACTCGTGCTCTCAGACAAAGGGGCCAACCTTGTGAAACCCTACTTTGGATAGGTGAGAAATTGGTCTGATCCAGGACCAAATTCTTTGGGTAAGCACTGCCACAGCCACATTATTTCTTCTGAAAAATACACCTTCAAAGAGTTTAACCAGGTTAGAGAGCCAGGGCTCCTATTTTTGCTTTTCAAAGGCCTTTTGTTGGTCAGCTCCCCATTTGATTTTTTTCTCCCCCCTTTGTAGCTTTGTACAGTGGTTTGGTCAGTACTACAAAATTTAGTATCCATATAGGAGAAAATCCCACAATGCCCAGGAATTCTCTAATTTGCTTCTGCATTTTGGGGACTGGAATGGTCTGAATTACCCTCTTCGTTTCCACTTCTAGCTACCTTTAGTTGTGTTGGAGGATAAATCTCAAGTACTTTACTTGCTTTCGGCAGGTCTCAAACTTCTTCTGAGACACTTTGTATCCCTAAGCCTCCAAGTGGCACAAGAACACATTGGTTCCTTGAGAACATCCTTTCGAGCACACTTTAAAAGCCTCAGGTTCTAGTAAGACGTCATCTATATACTGGAGAAGGATCCATCTAGTGTCCTTTGCTGGGAACCAACTGAGGTCTCTGACAAAGGCCTCCCAGAAAAGACTGGGGGCATTCTTGGACCCCTGGGGAAGCCATGTCCAGATATGCTGTGCCTTGGCACCACTCGGAGAGTCCTTCCATTGGAAAGCAAAGAGTTCTTAGATGAATGCATCTTTCACATTCAATCAGATGAATCAAGAGATATGGGCAGGGATTAGATTTAGGAGGGTGTATGGGTTAAGCACAGTTGGATGCAGGGTTACTGTGGCCTAGTTTACTGACTGGTAATCCTGTGCTCCAGGTTTCTTTACAGGAAGAAGGGGGTATCACACGGTGACCGACAAGGAATTGTAATGCCATGGTCCTTGAGTCTCTTCAGGTGGACCTGAATTCTTCCAATGGCTTCTCCAGGAATTGGATATTGTCTCTGAATCACTGGCTGAGCTCCAGGCTTGAGGTTAATTTGCACCAGAGCTTGGTTACTTGTCCCTGGTCTAGACTCCTGGCCATCTCTGGGTTAACTCTGGGTTTAGAGCCTCTTGAGGCTTACTTATAAAAAAAACCCTCCATTATTCTTCACATGACACAATAAGAGTTAAAACTAGTCCTGGTTTTGGCAGATGCAATCTCAATTGACCTTTGCCTGAGAACGAGATTGTGGCCCTCAGCCTTCCTAACAAGTTTTGTTCTAGCAATGGGGTTGGGCAGTCTGGTATATATAAAAACTGGTGCATTATTTCATGTCTCCCTGTGGAACACTTTTAGGACAAGCAGAAAGATTATTGCATTAGAGTCCCAGCTGCATCAATTATTTTAGTCTGCCAGGAGGAGAGGTGGGGCCACTGGGCTGGTTACAATGGAATGTTTTGTGCCAGAATCAAAGAGAAATTTAATCTCTCATATGGTTTTAGCAGGGATTCTTGAGTCTAGTTGGCCTTAGTCCTAAAAAAGTGAGTTTACTGCCACATTAAACAGTTTAGTGTCCTTTTCTGGTTCCAGTTTCTGCTAGCTTACTATGCCCTGCTGGTTGCAGGGACATTACTTTTTCCAGTGGCTTATTTTCCTGAAAATGGTGCACTGGTTACAAAATAGAGGAGGCTGGTTTGGCCATAGCTGGCCCCTTCCTCTCCCTTTTCTCCCACCCTCCTCTCCAGATCCTTGAAGCAGAAAGCTTTGAAACCAGATGTGGAACTGCTGCAGGATTTTGGAGACATATTGACAAGGAGTGAGTCTGTACAACAGATGGACATTCCTTGCCCTATGAACCGTGTGTTCAGTGAAAGACCCATCACAGGGCTAATAGACAAGTACAAGCAATTCCAAGTGGATATTTACTTCTGCCATGAATTAACTAATTTGGATTTCTTGCTGTTTGAAGATATAAAACTTTTGAGGAAATCTGTTGTCTTTGATCTTGAAGATGTACCTATTCCTTCTGAAAGATTTCAGTCTTTTGCCTCATGGGGAAAGGAGACCTACACCTCTGGAAAACAATATTGGGAGGTGGATGTGGATGAATCTTTGGCCTGGGCTGTAGGAGTGTGTAAGGACACTAGGTTAAGGAGAAACAGCACACTAATCACATCTGCAGATAAATTTCTTCTTTTATCTGTAAAGGAGGATGATTTATACAACGTTTTCACCACATCCCCCTTCCTTTCTCATTATATAGAGAAACCTCTGAGAAGGATTGGTGTGTATATTGATTGTGACAGTGGCAGTGTAAGTTTTGTTAATGTTGACAAAAGTTCTCCCATACGGAGTTACCCAGATTGCTCCTTTGATTATCCACTCAAGGCTTTCTTTGGCACTGACTACTCGGTATAGAAAGATAGGAGAGAAGGTGGAAACTGTATCTGGGAATGACCTTCTCAATGAAAGTTAATCAATCACGCTTTTCTACCTATTCACTTGTTCCCCTTTAATGTAACATTATTCTCACATTGTTAAATATAGATCAAGTATACAAATGTAAGCTCTTTGGCCTAGTGGTAAAAAACTGTGCTGCAATCCGAACCAGACTGTAGTTCAAACCACCCTGCAGCTCCCCGGGGAACAACCATCAACCCACAAGGTCAAAAGAGCTCCTTAAGAATTAAAAAAAAAATAGAAAAAAAAGGAAAGCTTTGAACTTGTTCTGCCTGAGAAGGAGCAGTTACAGTAAGATCCAAGTTAGTGCCAGTCGAAAAGGTCTGATTTTCTTTTAATTTTCTGATCTCTCTCTTGTCCTCAAAGTTCTGGTAAGCAAAAATCTTATTTCCTATTTCCAGGAGCTCTGATGTCCTTGCACTTTGACTTATAAAAAACTATGTTTATTATTGTTTAGTATTCCCAGGTTTCCAGATCAAAGGGTGTATAGATTCGATAGGCTTTGGAGAGTCTCTCATAACATTCTCCCGGGCGTTCACCTTCATTAGGCTTTTGTTTAACTTCGGCCATCTTGCCTATTTTTATGGCCCTCTTTCCTCCTCTCTGGAGCAGCCTCTGGGGAAGACCTTCCTTGTACTCCTCCAGCTGTCTCATATCTCTCTCCTTTGTCTGGAACCCACCGTGGGACTTCTGAGAGTATGGCTTTCAGAGTATGTTTTTAAGTTCTTGGTGGTGCATTTTCCTATAGCCACTTTGTGGCTACCTGGATTACTCAGAACCTTTCTTCTGTGTTAAACTGCATTAAGAGGAGCTGCCAGCATCCTGCCCACAGAAGATTGTGGGTTTCAAAGATAGACTGCATCAATGAGGGCTTGGGGCTTTTTTGTACAGGATAGGCTTTGGAGTTTCCAATTGTAGAGATCTGTAGTGGTAAAGTACCGAAACATCGAAGTCCACTCACCCTCGGTGATTTTCCCCTCTGCATGTACTATTCCCAGATATCTCACTTCCCTTAATGGGATCTGGATGGCTTGGGGAGCAGGTGAAGAGACTTGAAGGGAACGAGGTAGTAGTGGGTCTTAGTTCCTGAACTTTATGTTAGGGGAGATTTTCCATGTCTCAACAGTGAGGTCAGGCAGATAAGGACTAAACTCTTTGTACTCTGGAGGGACAGAAGAAGTTTCCTGCATTCTTACCGGTGAAGAAGCAGGAGGAAGTGGGTCCAATCTCACCCTTCACCCCTTCAGCTCTGGTGTGGAGGAGGTGATTCTCACATTCTCATAGGTGGACTGGTAGTAGAGTCAGGAGATAGTGGCCATTCTCACATGCTCATTCTTTATACTGAGAGGTATGGTGGAAGCCCATATTTCTCTGATTCTGATAAAAAGACTTTAGGAGCTGAGGCAGCCTTGGCTTTTGACTTGAGTAGAGCACTTTCCCAGTGTACTATTTGCCTTTGTTACTAGGACCCTTGAGGCTTGGCCTGCAAGCCAGAGAGGTTGCTGCAGCACTAACTAGAGCCAACTATCAATGCAGGGGAATTTATCTGGATGCCTTGGATCCACTGTAATCACAGACCACACCTTCTGCACTAAGTCTTTGTCTAGGCTTTACTCTTTAGGCCACCCTACCCAAATGTTCCCATCGCGATACGCTTTTTGATTTCCTGACTGCTGGTACTAAGAGGGTTGACTGTGGAGCCAAGCAAACTGAAGCTGTGAACACTCTCAATCTCTTCGCCATCCATCCTGACGCTGCCAATTGGTCCAGTGGCGAGAATCTTTGTCTTCTTGACATTG